ACGCACACACAAATACATACAGACACCTACATACGTATACAGGTACATACATGTACACACGTGCACCCACACGCACACGCAAACACAGACCAATGTGCACAGATGTACATGGTATAATTATCAATATGGTGTACATACGCCCATGTACACACACACGCAGACACATATGGAAGCACATGCTCACGCTTGCATACAAAACATAACAACGCAACAAGTGACGCCTTGCAGGGATTGCGATTCAGTTATCTGGTTACAAAATAGATGGCTATGAGCTCGGCCTGAATATCTCCCGCGTGAGTGCCATCATTATGGAAAACAATGGAAATCCTACATGACGCTTGACAATTTAGAACGGTAACATCGCCGATATCTCTGCGCTGTGTTCTCCGCCTGGGACTGTTACAGCCATGGTACCACGTTGTGGAGGGAGATGACACTCGTTTCCGGTTTGCATGCCTTTCAAAGTGATTGGATTCCGAGCTGCTTTTCTGTACTTAAATCTTTGATGAACAAATTAGGGGTCGTCCACAATTATCGAACCTTTTTTCACAAAACGAAATAATTTCGTTATGGGGTGGGAGGGGGTTGACCAATTTCGTTTCAGAAAACTTCGATACATGTACATTGCCGCAGGAGCAGTGGCACACTTGCGACTTTTGTTGTATATGCATGTATACGTCAACAATTGTTTACGTTCTGAGGGGAGGGAGGGAGGGGTTGGGTCTAAACTAAAACAATTCGTTTGGTGAACAAAGTTCGATATTTACGGACGACCCCTTAGCACGTTTTACCAAGACTCACACTCGCACTCACACTCGCACTCACACTCGCCCTCACACTTGCACTCACGACCGTTCCATTCTGCAGACTTGGCTCAAGTGATGTGACTTCGACATGTCTCTAGAACTACCATCATGTACTTACACACGTGTGCTCCGGATGGCAGTCGTGAGTCAGTCAAGTGTCAAGTTCGGCAAGAAGCGTGTGTTCCTAGTTGGAAAAATCATCTCCATGACCGCCGAAGTCGCAACTTCTAAGTTTACACACAAGGCTTCATAAAACTTGTTTTTGATGTAGTACTAGATGTTTTTAAAAGCTTTTAGTATACATGTAGTGTACTTTATCAGAATGTACAGTCACCGATGCATTTTTCTAGACTAATCAATGGTCTGGAACCTACAAAAATGATGAAATTTCCTGAGAAGTTACAAAAAGAAAACAAGCGAACTGAACAATAATTATAATAATAATAATAATAATAATCACGTGTAGATCTGAAGGCTGAGACTGAAGCAGAAGATGCAGAAGATGCAGAACAGGTAGTATGGGTGTATGTGAGGAATTACAATGAAGAAACATAGAGGAAAAACGAGAAAAAAATAGGGAAAGAACAAGAGCACTGATTTTGTAAGGGACTTTTGAAAACAAAAACGTGTGGAACGAATATAGCCAAAGACATTGGTGAAGGGTTACACTTAATTATGACAATGTCCTGCATAACATGGAGAGTAGGAGAAGAACAATGCATTGTTATGTACATGTATACTACTACTTGTGTCATTCTTTCTGAGTTTGAAGATCAAAATGTTATGGAGAAAGTGCATATTTGAATGCATTTGCTCGTTGAGTGGGAATGATGTTGCGTGTTCTAAACCGGAATCCAAACAATTGTGTTGGAATTGCGATCAATGGCTAGGATTGATAGCGCACACAAAACTTCAATGGCTGCACACCCATCGAGTGACTTGATCCTTTCTCGCTCATGCACCAAAAGGATACTAGTATTGTGTCATCGTCGATTTTTGCCGGAAGCTTGCCAACAACCTCTACGCCTCAAGTACCTGTATTTAGTTCCCAAGGAGGCTCCACTTACTGTGGGACAGATTGTAACACGGGCTGATCAGATCGCCTTTCAAGACCAATTGTTTTCTGTCAAGCCTCAATTAACCCCACTTCCGACGTCGAAGGTTTCTAGAAAATTCTAGGGGATTAGGGAGGTGTGGTAAGTTCGCATCTGCACGTCTGGAACTACATGTAGCAATAATTCGAGTGGCCGCTCATTGTTGTACTTCGCCAGACACCGACCTACCGCACGTTTTCTCACGGCAATTTCTACAAGTTATTTCTGGTGGATCAGGTGGTGAGAACTGACTGATTCGCAAGGCAAAAGGTACATGTGCTGTGCTTGCAATTAGCGTCATGGCAGGGCAGACGGAAGCCGTTTTTGACTGATCCGACAGCCATACCCTGCTAGCATTTCATGCTTTGTGTACTGTATTACATGTATATGTCGGGTACACATGACCGTCTCAGCAGTAAACATACATGTACTAGGTAGAGACTACCCATAGGTGGAACTCGTGTACAAGTAGATGATTTCTACAGCCCAGAGGCAAAGAACAATAAATCTGCAACCCTGCAATGAATAGAACTATTGTATATGTGTACTCATATCATTGGCATTATTCTCTATTTTCCACGATGGCCCATGGCCAATAAGGAAGATAATAATTATGATTCATAACAGTCCAGAATCAGATAAAATCAGTCTAGCAAGTAAGGAAACCAACACATTGCAGGGGGATGGGGTTACGGTGGGGTACAGTGTGAGCTACTACAGGAGCATATGGATGATAGAATGATGCTAGACGCCATTGATTTAAACGCATGCTTGCTATTTGTTTCACGCAGGTCGGAGGGGTAGTTGGTTGAAATTGTGAAGGGACAGGTTGATGGGTGAGTTGGTGTGTCGGTATGTCTGTGATGTTCTAAATGTGTATGTTCTCATGTGCCGTAGTGCATATGGCTGCTCTGTCATTGGTCGTGCAAGTTGAGGCTGCTGCAGGTGAAGGGGAGCGCGGATGTACTTGATGTTGTGGGCAAGAGTAACCTGTCGTAAGAGTTGCCGGGAGACTAATGTGGGAAGTTGGAGATGATGAAGAAGTGAGCTGTGATGGACTGGTGCAAAAGGGGGGATCCGCAAGAAGATACGGGCTGCTCGTTGCTGAACGCGTTCTAATTGGTCCTTCTGTGTGCGATGAGCGCAGTGTCATCTGCAAATTGGCTGCACTTTGTGTTCGAGTTGGTGCAGGCAGAGGGCAGGTCAATGGTGTAGATCAAGAACAGCAGGGGGCCTAGAACGGATCCTTGAGGCACCCCTGCTGGTATGGCTTGCCACTCACTGAAGGCGTCGCCGACACGAACACGTTGACGGGGATGGGTGAGGTAGTTGACCATCCATTGCAGGGCGGTATCCTTCAGGCCGAGGTGTTGCAGTTTCTTGAAGAGACCGGCATGCCAGACTCTGTCGAAAGCCTTCGAGAGATCAAAAAAGCAAGCTGTGACGGAAAGACCTTTATCTCGGCTCTCGGAGACCTCGTGTACGAGTCTGGTGCTATCATTGGCACGAAAACCGGATTGGTCCACTGGGAGGAAGGGTTTGACGTGCTTCTAGAGTCTCTTGTGGACGATCCTCTCCTGCACTTTACTGATAACGCTGAGACGTGATATGGGCCTGTAGTTTGTTTCCCATGACCGTTCGGCTTTCTTGTATAGTGGGCTCACAGTGGCATCACGCCAGTCCTGTGGTTGTTCACCTCTCCGAAATGACTCATTGAAAAGTCGGGAGAGTGATCACAACCATAGGGACGATTTTAAAGTATTCCAGACTGTTTTCTTCTCACAATTATCAATGGAGTTGACTCGGATGGAGAGCCAAGGATTAATTTATAAGAAAGAATAAGGACCAAGGAACTACAAGTTACGCTATAATGTCCACTAACACCACCAGTTACGAAACAATCAGCTCATGCGATAACATTACACGACACCGACCAACGGTACTGACAGTACTGACTGACGGTACTGAAGTTGGAAGGCTGTTGCAGTGCGCATCTAAGATGTGCTAGAGATGTTAGCCATTTATTTGTAGAGCGTCAGTACTGTTAGTCAGTGTCGTGCAATGTTATCGCATGGGCTGATTGTCTAGTAACTGGTGGTGTTAGTGGACATTATAGCGTACCTTGTAGTTCTTTGGTCCTTTTCTTTTTTATTAATCAATGGAATTCGTGACTAAGGAGAATAATGAAACTACATGTACAATCGGATTTATACACTTGGAGTGAAAAAAACACGAGGATACAAGAATAGAACTCAGATGGATCATGGTGAGCCAAGGAAACAAATTTGTAACATGGAAATGGTGGGCACAAGTTATGCGATCGAGTCCACCAACTAAACCAGATTTTGAACAGTCAGATGTGCACAATCTAGCGCAAAACTGACAAGGCGTACTGAGATATTCCACGGCATGCAGGAAAGTCATGCAGCTTGAGCACTGCTCGATAGCGCTAACCAACGGCCTTCCAACTGGGAAGGTTCATGGATATTACTAGTACTACAGCAATTCCAAAGAGGGAATATCAATGTCAGTTTTGTGCTAGATTGTGCACGTCTGACTGTTCAAAATCTGGTTTAGTTGGTGGACTCGATCGCATAACTTGTGCCGACAATTTCCGAGTTACAAATACAAGAATAGTAAGAAAAATAGCACAAACTTTGGAAAAATTGCACTGGTAAAAAAACCTTCTGGAATACTTTATTTTCACTATTCGTCCCTATTATAGTTTTATTCATTGCATTATTAACCAGTCCCCCTCTCTCTCTATTCTCCTTCGTTCTGTTCTGTTCTCTTTTGTTTTCTTCTCTTTCTCTTATTTGCATGTTTGAGTTGGCGTGCATCAGCACGATGTTGAGTCCGTAACCTGGCGTGGATGAGAGGAGGGATCATGAAACGTTGTCGGCGAACTGTCCCGTGCGCCGCCCATGTCGTGTTGAGCCGCGTCTGCGTGCGTGCCTACGCAGTGTAGATCTACGTGTGCAAAGGAGCGATGACTCATCATCAGCTCATGATGCAGTCATGACGTGTGATGATACAAGATGAGTGTCGACGATGTCACTGTTCAAGATTTTTCCAATTATTTTTTTGCTTCTTTAAAAATTATTTTTCTCTTCCGTTCAAGCTCAAAAACTTACTTGTGCAGTCGTGAGCTGGTTCTTGTGGGAAGCAGGCAGGATGGTGTTCCGAGCTGGAGCGCTCCTTGCGCTTTCCTTGATCGTTTCGTCCTGCCGCGGCGGCGATATCGGCACCAGTTTAGGTGACACCAGAATTGGAAACCGATCCGTGACGATTGGATCGGAGCTCGTATCCGAGATCGTAGCTGGGAACAAACAAATCGTGGCCTATCTTCATCCCGACCCAGAGGCCAAGCAGTCGCTGACAGTGTCTTGGGGAGAGCCTGCGGACAGTTTCTGGGGAGCTGTGCAGTACGACAGCTCAAAGGCCAACTCCAGTGGTTGGTCCACGCTGCTGGTGCGAGATAACGCCGTTCTTGGGGCTGATGTGAGTGACCTGGATCGCGCCCAGGTGGCTGGCTTCCTGGAGGGCCTGGTCACGGGCCAGTCGATCTGGGACACGTACACGAACCTGAAGATCCAGGCCTACTGCGTCAACGAGGAGGCGTACTGCGCGCGCCTGCGTGCTTTCATGTCCGCCAACGACGCCTGGGCGCTAGGTCGCATCGCGGCGGCGCGTAAGGAGCGCTCGGCAGACCTGCCGCTGTGGCACCAGTACGCGCTGATCCGGGAACAGCTGGTGGGTCTGATGCAGGGTTACAACCAGTACCAGAAAGTGATGAACCTGCCGCAGCGCTCCCTCACGCTCGAGGACTTCATGATGCTGTCGTTTGGCAGCGACATTGACACGCTGGAGTCGGCGCTGAAGCGCAAAGTCAGGGCCAGCGTGCTCGGCTCGGGCTCCTGCTCGGCCATCGTGAAGATTATTGGCGACTACGAGGACGTGCTGTTCACGCACGACACCTGGACTCACTTCTACACAATGCTGCGCGTGTACAAGCGTTATGAGCTGCATCAGTCCCGTGATGGTGGCGCCCAGACCAAGGACAACCTCATCGCCGCGTCCGTGTCGTTCTCCTCGTACCCGGGCTATCTCCATAGCAACGACGACTTCTACACGCTGGAGGGTGTCGACATGGCCATCATGGAGACGACCATCGGCAACTACAACCAGACGCTGTTCGACGAGATCACGCCCGAGAGCCAACTCTACTTCTACCGCGTGCAGATCGCCAACCGCCTGGCTCGCAACGGCGCCGAGTGGGCGCGCGCGTTTGCCCGGTACAACAGCGGCACCTACAACAACCAGTGGATGGTGTTCGACTACAAGCAGTTCACACCCGGTCAGCCGCCGCGAGCAGGCGCCTTCACCGTCCTGGAGCAGCTACCGACTATAGCCCACACCGAGGACATGACCGAGTTCCTGGTGACCAACAAGCACTGGCCCAGCTACAACCTGCCGCACTTCAAGTCGGTCTTCCAGCGCGGCAACTTCCAGTCCATGGTCGACCAGTACGGGGATTTCTTCAGCTACGACATGTCGCCGCGCGCCCGCATCTTCCGCCGCGATCACGCCAAGGTGGTGGACGTGAAGTCGCTGCAGCACCTGATGCGCTACAACGACTTCCAGCACGACGAGTACGGCCGCTGCCAGTGCACGCCGCCGTACAGCGGGGAGAACGGCATCGCAGCTCGCTCCGATCTGAACCCGACGAACGGCACATACTCAATCCCCGCCCTCGCCCACCGCATGCACGGCGCCACCGACTGCAAGATCACGTCGCGCGAGCTCATGCAGAGCGGCCAGACCTTGGCCATCAGCGGCCCGACCAACCAGGAGCAGCCCACCTTCAAGTGGAGTACGTCCGGTGAGCCGCGCCCGGCCGGTCACCCGGACGCCTTTGACCGCGAGTTTGTCCTGATCAAATTTCCCCGCTAACGGTAAGTGATGAGTGATGTGTGAACCATGTCCAGGCTCGTGTGCTACGAGTGTAGTAATCACTCTCTGCTTCCCTGTATACAAACACCTCTACTGCACTCCTTTCTCATCAATTTTACTGATAGATTTTCTTTTGCTTGCCTTTAGAGTCCTGATTTGATGCTTTTAGTCCTTTCCTAATTTCCGGAAGTAACTTATCGTTACCAATTTTCTCTTGGTGACCGGCCTGAAGTGAATGTATTCGTTCGGTCCAGCCGAGATCCACTCGCCTGTGTGTGTGTGTGTGTGTGTGTGTGTGTGTGTGTGTGTGTGTGTGTGTGTGTGTGTGTGTGTGTGTGAGGTGTGTGTGTGTATGTGTGTGCGTGTGTGTGCTTGCTACCAGTGCATCTAGTGTCTGCTTCTATCAAAGCGGCGTGCTGTCTATACTGGTTATTCCAGCAAGTGTCGGGTGTGCATAGGTAACTGTCTTGGCCGTTTTATGCCAGTATACGTCGTGTGGGTGTAGATCGGGTGTGCATTGGTGGTTGAGTCACGTGGCTTCGCAGGTTGTGTGGATTGGGCAGTTATCTGGCTCTAGTCTTGATCTGTCTCATTCAGATCTTGTCCGCTATCGTTGCTATAAGAGAAAATCTGTCGGTGCACATCCAGATTTGCGTGCTTCTCTTGTGACGGACGAATACATGAACGCACAGTACATACATGATGTGTGGGTGTGTGTGGTGTATGTGTGTGCGTGGGTGTGCGAGTGCGTGTCGTTTGTGCGTTTGTGTGTGTGTGTGGGGGGGGGGGGGGGGTGTGAGGGTGTGTGAGTGTGTGTGTGTGTGTGCCAGCTAGTTCGGTTGTTCGGTACACTTAGGCCAGTTAGCATTCGGTCTGTTGCCAATGAACTCGCCTGCTGAAGGTGTATTGTTGTACCTGCCACTTTTTGTTGGTTTTGGGGTTCATATACGTTCTATTCAAAGTGTACATACCTGTTAGCCATGGACTACTTCTGGCTAGATTAACTCTTGTGTAATCAATGGTGATAGTGAAGCTTGTATGAGATCCACTCTGATTTAGCCACCCACTCTAGTGGCAAGTATTACCAAGAGTATATAACCTCCCAAGAGTGTGCAACCCTGCATACGGGGTCTCCGACGGCCAAAACTCACATCACGTTTCTCAGATACGGTCGTACTACGTACAAACGAAGCATAGCGTGCGCGCAATCCGAATATCTGCCACGATCATGCTGGAGATTTGCATACCTGCAGTGAGTTTCTGTCAGAGAGTGCTTTTTTATTACTCCGCTGCTTGCTAAAAACGGGCTGGAAACGTACAACTGCGACACTGCACCACGTGATGTGAGTTTTCGCCGTCGCAGTGCCCCATAGAAAGGGTATCAGGAGTTGTACACTCTGGGGGGGGGGGGTTGTAATTATACTCTTGGTATTACCTTCACTGCATTGGGCGGGGCAGAGGTAAATGCTGTTCGACTCCGGGACGGATGCCCTTACGCCGTCAATACATTTTCTGCACTTTGTCCTCACCCACATACTGTTGTGATTAGCACAAAAGTGGGGTCACATTGTTGAGGTTCACCTGTGGGATTTGGTGGTTGGCAGCTGTTGGGCGGCTCAATAGCCGATTGAGTCATCTTTCCGAGATTTATTCTATGTCTGTCTCCCGTCCGAGTTCCAAGGAGAACCCCACGTGGTCAGTTTCTGGCAGCGAACAAGTGTGTGTGTGTGTGGGGGGGGGGGTATGCCGTTGCATGCGTGCATTCGTGTCTGATTCAGATTGATTCCGGTGCACGCGCGTTCCTGATCGCCTTGCTGTTACTGTTTTTGGCGCGAGCAGCTCAGTGTACGGCATGTACACACCATGTACACACCATGTACACACCATGTACATACCATCCACTGCTAGAACTTAAGTACAGTGCTGCTCACTTGAAGTCTGCGACCTGAACCATTTCGCAAATTCACAGGTCAAGGGCTGCGTGACGCCCAGCGGGTACTAATATTTAATCCTAAGGGCGCGTTCAGACTACCGATAAAAAGTCACCGCTTGGGAAAGTTTCCAAGGTGATTTGATCACGTGACGCTACTTGCACGTTACCGGCGGAAAGGTTTTCCTGTCGCGGTTGCTGCGGCAGTAAAAAAAGTGCTCAGGCTGAGAAAAGGGTAAATCCTTTCTCAGTTCGCGGTGAGAGCTGCAAAACGTATGTAATGGTAACGTTAGTTTATCGGTAGTGCGAATGTCCTTCATGGTGTATCACCATTCACGGTTCAATTTCATTGAGCAGTATAACCACTAAACCCTATTAGCATTGTGCTGGTGGTCAGGAAAGTGCTACTTTAGTTGGAAGCAAAACAGATCGCCACCAGAACACTAGAGTCGAGTGCGACTGTCGGGTGAAAAGTGATGCGCATCGGTCGTCGGGGAAGTTAAAGTTGGCTAAAGTTCACGCCATTCGACCTGCGATGGCGCTGCGACAAGCTGCATGTGCTTCAAAATTTTGCAGAATGAACTCTTTGCCACATGGATTGTTGCTAATCGCGTTAGAGTAACGATTGTCGCCCATCGAGTCGCAGGATCAACAGTTTGCAGGGTTCTAGCCAGGTCAAAATGGTGGGGGGGGGGGCAGGGAGACAGTTACCCCGTCACCCATTTTTCCTTTTTCAAAATAACTGTCTTGCAATGCGAAATGCAAAACGTGCCTTTTGAACTCTCCAGTACTGACTATCAACTGCATTTCCGTTGAGTGGCATGAAGAAACACAAAAATCGGAAAATGAGTAGGGACCGGTACTTTTTCACAGGGTCGCAAACAGAGTAGGGGGGGGGGGGGGCGTTGCCCCCCTCCCCTTTTTTGGCTGGAACCTGTTTGGTCACTGTGTCGCAAGATCGACTGTCTCTCATCGCATCTCAGAATTGATTATCGCTCTTCTTGTCGCAAGATTAACTCTCTCTCATCGCATTTCAGCATTGATTGTCGCTATGAATTGTGTCGAAAAATCGACTATCCTCATCGCGCTTCAGCATTGATTGTCACTCGTGAGTCATCGTGCCGCAAGATCAACTGTCTCTCATCGCGTTTCAGCATTTACTGTTGCTATGCATCGTGTCAAAAGATTGACGGACCGTCTCTCATCGGGTCTCAGCATTGATTGTCGTTCTTCGGGTTGCAAGATCAACTGTCTCTTATCGTATTTCAGCGTTGCTTGTCATTCATCATGTCGCAAGATAGACTGTTGCTCAACTCGTCGCAGCAATCTTTGCCGATTGTGTCAATTCTTGGGTGCTAAGCGGGATTCACAGTAGCTTTTTTTGCGATACGACACGCGATGCGACAGCCGCGAAACCGGGAAATCCCCAAATCACAGCCACCTCACACCCCACTCAACTGCCGCAACTGGGCCATTGCAGAAGTTGAGCTTGGCTCAACTTTTGCGATGCGACAAGTGATTAGGCGTATGATTTTGACTTTTTCTGCAGCAAAGTTGTACAAAGTTTCAAGAATTGCCTGTGAATTTGTACAATTTGTAGCAAACCGCGCGAATACCATGGTGACATACTCACCTGCAGTGAAATTCGCGCCAGATGTGCAAATCGTCGTCGCATCGTTGACTTCTTCTGTGAATGGTTTTTCGCGAGTTCGCATTGCACGCCTCCGTCGCAAATCGCGTCGCATCACCCATCGCATCGCAAAAAAGCGGGATTCACAGAAGATTCACAGAAGCTTCTGTGAATCCCGCTTTAAGGGGGAATGACACTTCGCGCACGCCATATTGGACCGTACATGTCCGAACGACCACAACTTCCGTTTCCTTCAATATTTCTTGTAACTTCCAGCAGCTTCACTCTCATCGTGCCGCAAGATCACCTGTCTCTCATCGCGTTTCAGCATTTACTGTTGCTATGCGTCGTGTCAAAAGATTGACGGGCCGTATCTCATCGGGTCTCAGCATTGATTGTCGTTCTTCGGGTTGCAAGATTGACTGTCTCTTATCGTATTTCAGCGTTGCTTGTCACTCATCATGTCGCAAGATAGACTGTTGCTCAACTCGTCGCAGCAATCTTTGCCGATTGCGTCAATTCTTGGGTGCTAAGCGGGATTCACAGAACCTTTTTTTTTGCGATGCGACACGCGATGCGACAGCCGCGAAACCGGGAAATCCCCAAATCACAGCCATCTCACACCCCACACAACTGCCGCAACTGGGTCATCGCAGAAGTTGAGCTTGGCTCAACTTTTGCGATGCGACAAGTAATTTGGCGTACGATTTTGACTTTTTCTGAAGCAAAGTTGTACAAAGTTTCAAGAGTTGCCTGTAAATTTGTACAAGTTGTAGCAAACCGCGCGAATACCATGTTGACATACTCACCTGCAGTGAAATTCGCGCCAGATGTGCAAATCGTCGTCGCATCATTGACTTCTTCTGTGAATGGTTTTTCGCGAGTTCGCATTGCACGCCTCCGTCGCAAATCGCGTCGCATCACCCATCGCATCGCAAAAAGGTTTTTAATTAAGGGGGATTCGCAGAAGATTCACAGAAGCTTGGACCGTACATGTCCGAGCCACCACAACTTCCGTTTCCTTCAATATTTCTTGTAACTTCCAGCAGCTTCACTCTCATCGTGCCGCAAGATCGCCTGTCTCTCATCGCGTTTCAGCATTTACTGTTGCTATGCATCGTGTCAAAAGATTGAAGGACCGTCTCTCATTGGGTGTCAGCATTGATTGTCGTTCTTCGGGTTGCAAGATCGACTGTCTCTTATCGTATTTCAGCGTTGCTTGTCATTCATCATGTCGCAAGATAGACTGTTGCTCAACTCGTCGCAGCAATCTTTGCCGATTGTGTCAATTCTTGGGTGCTAAGCGGGATTCACAGAACCTTTTTTTTTTGCGATGCGACACGCGATGTGACAGCCGCGAAACCGGGAAATCCTCAAATCACAGCCATCTCACACCCCAAGCAACTGCCGCAACTGGGCCATTGCAGAAGTTGAGCTTGGCTCAACCTTTGCGATGCGACAAGTGATTTGGCGTACGATTTTGACTTTTTCTGCAGCAAAGTTGTACAAAGTTTCAAGAGTTGCCTGTAAATTTGTACAAGTTGTAGCAAACCGCGCGAATACCATGGTGACATACTCACCTGCAGTGAAATTCGCGCCAGATGTGCAAATCGTCGTCGCATCGCTGACTTCTTCTGAGAATGGTATTTCTTAAATTCGCATCGCACGCCTCTGTTGCAAATCGCGTTGCATCGCCCA